GTGCTGGCCGTAGTGGCCATTTGGGGGGTGAACCAAGGGAGGGAAACTGTCAAAAAACAAAACAAAAGAAAACAAAAAAAACCTTCCCTTACATCTGGTATACTGTATGCTGGGCTTGGCAATCTTTTCATGTCGTTGAGGCTGCCATACATTGCTAGGTTGTGTCTGGCATTCATGCAGCATTCAAGAGTTCAAAAGAAATAACTGATTCATTTGAATTTGCAGTTCCATCTGTCCAACTACCACTGCATTGCTTTTACACCTTCGCCTTCTTAATTTACTGTTTCAAAGTACGGAATTTACTTCCTAAGAATGGAAAAAAACTTTATTATATGCAACATCTGGGTTACACATAGGGAACACCGCAATGAATCCCCATTTAACTCTCTAAGCTCCAATAAGTATCACCTGATGGCCAATCTTGTTTCATCTCTGCTTCCAAATCCCACCCTCCCATCATTTATTTATTGTTTATAACCTATAGGAGCTCTTTTTTTGTAAATATGATCTGCATATTCCTTCTCAGGCAAAAAATGAACCCTTTACAAGTGTGGTTAGGCCCTGCTAAGATAGCCGCAGGTGGGACTTAAAATTCAATAAATCTATAGCAGGCTAATTTTCAAGCTGGTAAGCCTGTATGGCCCACGAATGATGTTATAAATATCCAAATGGCCCTCAGCCCTGCTTTGAACAGTTACTTTAAATAACTTAATGAATTTATGGATACCAAGACGGTGTTTTCCTATATTGAGATGAAATGAATTGGAAAATTAAGAATTCATTTCAATAAAATACACAAAGATAGAAAAGTCAGAGAGTAAGAATTTATGAGATGCAGTTTTGGCTCCCTGTATTAGAAAAATCAGGGTGTGGGATGGGTAACAAAGCACAAGGTGGACAGGTAAGTCTCCATTTTGGAACTTGAGGGTAAAGCAAAGCATGAAAAAGTGACTTGAGAGGAAGACAGGTTAACGAAGTCCTTTAAAAGTATATGGTGTAGTCAGTTTTTTTTTTTTTTTTTGAAAGGAGATGGCGAATTATGAGTGACTTTCAGCTGAAGACCATTACTTTTTATTTATAACTCATTGTTTTCTGAATATAAACAAGAATCTACGCACATATTTGTACTTCTAACTTTTTTTTGACATATATGGATATAGTGATTACCACTGTTTTATACCATTCTAAGTTCTTTATAATGATGAATTAATTTAGTTAAGATATGATCACCCTCCCCCTAATTAGAAGATCTAAATTGATGTTCGACCCATAGGAATTTTTTATTTATTTATTTATTTATTTATTTATTTATTTTGACAGGCAGAGTGGACAGAGAGAGAGACAGAGAGAAAGGTCTTCCTTTTGCCGTTGGTTCACCCTCCAATGGCCGCCGCACCGCGCTGATCCGATGGCAGGAGCCAGGAGCCAGGTGCTTCTCCTGGTCTCCCATGGGGTGCAGGGCCCAAGCACCTGGGCCATCCTCCACTGCACTCCCTGGCCACAGCAGAGAGCTGGCTTGGAAGAGGGGCAACCGGGACAGAATCCGGGGCCCCAACCGGGACTAGAACCCGGTGCCGGCGCCGCAAGGCGGAGGATTAGCCTAGTGAGCCATGGCGCCGGCCCGACCCATAGGAATTTTTAAAAACAACCAGCAGCATCAAACTTTTATGAGACCTAAGCATTAACAGATTCCCAAGATATTCTCTGTCTCCGCCTTCCCTAGTATTTGACTAGATATGTGTGGGTAGAAGACATTTACAGGGGTTTGGGGCTACCCTTAGAGGCCTCAGAACCTTTTTGCTTTTTAGTGAAATAAACAACAAAGCTGAATACTTAAAGCTCGTAATCTGCTTCACCAATTTCTTATTCCTTGGAGTGGCACACTAATGGGAAAATCAACTTTGAATTCCCTTATGGTTACACTTAAAAAACAAGAAACTCATCTTGATTACAACAAAGATATGTCTCTAGACAGTGATGTTAAGTTCTACTTCACATTTCAACAGTATGCTACCTAAACAGAATTTTATGCCTACTTATACGACATGACCCCACATTTTAAACAAAAACAGACTTTGGAGTCTTTCAACCCATCCCACACATGAGCAAACCATCTTCGTATAAAAATATCAGTGGTGCAAGTCACAAAATCATATGATTTTACAAGTCTTATTCTCAAATAGTTTTTTTTTAAATCATACACATAAATCACTCCCTATTTGAAATGTACCAAGGCTTAACTCTATGTAAAAGTCTTAAGATGAATATACTTTGAAGTAATTTTTACTGTTTATTATTAGTAACTTATAAATGTCATGGATTATCACCCTCACACTGCCAGGTAAATTTTGTCAACGGAAGTGGAACTCTCTCATTTATGGGATCTACCTCTGTACTAAAAAATTAGGGCTCAAGTTAGTAGGGAGGTTTTTACAAATCCTGGTATGACAGACGTTCAGTATTGACTGAATGAATCAGTGGGTTAATTTTAACCTGTAGATAACCTCTTTACCTATACTCAACTAGACTTACAGGTAACCAACCCTGGGGAGTGGCATTTTATGAGTGGGCACGTAGCTAGGAGACGGTAATTTAACAATTGCAACATCACCAAGAATTGTTATAAAGTGAAACTCCACACTCAACAAATTCTATATATTCTTTTAATTGTAAGTGGCTCTTCTGCGAAGTACGGCTTCCAAAAGCTATCTAAGGAAGGCTAAAAAAACTGAGGGCGCAACGAACCCAGTTTTCAGTGCTCTCTCACGGAGCGCCGCAAGCCAGCGGCATAATAAAAAACAGGGAAAACTGGGGACCTCGGATTGGGTTTCTTCTCTTTAAAAAAAAAATCTGCAAAACTAATATGTGATTAGTCATGCACCGCTTCAGGATTGCAGGAAACCGACTTTCTCGTTACACGTTGATAGAAACGTGAGAAGGGAGAACACTTTCCCCCAACAGGCCCTGCGATCTAAGGATAGAGAAGCGAGTCAGGGGACATCAGGAAAAGCCAGCAGCGGAGTTATTAGGTTTTGGGATTTGGATAGTTAGCAGGAAAAGCAGATGGCTGCACGGTCCCACGCCACTTATGCACGGTGACACCATCACCCCGTAACCCGACCTCGCCCCTTCTCCGCGTCCCGCTCAGAGCCCGCGGCCCGGCAAAGCGCTTGTCCTTCTGCACCTCAAGGTTACTGGACGCGCGGGTGCGCAGGGCAGCGCAAACCACACAGAGGAGCTGCGGGCGCTGCAAGCTGCGCGCAAGGCGCCAACCTCACCCTCTCCCAGGCCCCACCTCACCTCGTATGCTGGAATTGGAAGTCAGACTCATGGCGCCGTCAGTTCGCAAGGCGTGCGCACAGGCCACCCAGCACGAACCCGCTAGTGTCCACAGCCGAAGCTAAGGCAATTAGGCGTCCTAAGGGCACGGGCACCGGGAGGCTAGCGCGCAGGCGCCGAGGCAGGCCGTCAGCACGTGTGTGTGAGCGAGAGATCCACCCGCATGCGCAGAGCTGAGCCCCGGGCCTTGAGGAAGTCGAGTCCGGATTTTGACAGCCGCAGGAGGGGAGGAGGAGGGACTGAACGAGGTAGCGACTGAGTTTGCGCAACGCTGAGGGGCGGGGCCCTGGAGTCCAGAGGTAGAGTTTTGGGAATAAGGAGTCCAGGCCAGATTTTCCGTCTCCTCCAGGTGTGTAGGGCGGCGGCGGACAGGTGTTAGTAAGGCACTTGCCTACCACCTACACCAGGTATCTAAGACTTTTACCCCGAATTTTCTCTTGCTCAATTCTTGTTTTTGTTTTAGCTGCAAGGCCAGGTCCAGGTTTCATGTAAGATGCCTGTGGCAGACACAGGGGGATCGGGGATAGAGTCCCATTCCAGAATCTTCCGTAGCTGCGGGTGTGCATTTATCCTTCTCTTCTGCCTTTGACCGAGTTGAGTCCCATACTTAGGACCTGCCCTAGCTGAAGGTCGCGTGGCAGAGAAAAGGGAAAACCTGCTCATTTCTTCAAACAACGTTTCCACTTAAAAAGAATTAGGACAATAGCTTCTGCAGCCTGAACACGTCTCGGCTCTAAAATTTTTTGATGAGACCAGTTTATAAGCATTAACTGAGGAGGGGGCTAGGATGAATTTGTCGAGTATTTTGAAGGTGCGTCTTTTAACACGCGACCTGTTTTTAACTTCCGTTGGTTCTGTGGGGGGTGGGATTTGAGGGAGCTGCTTGCAGGTTAAGGGTGGCCTCCCACGCCACCCCTGGCACTGCCACTGCCTCCCAACCCTCCTAAATACCTGGCTGCCCCTCACTCCTGGAAGCCCCTGGCATCTCTGAGCCCACCCCTGGGGAGCGCTGGAACCCGCCTGCAATGAATGAGGGCACAGCAGCGCTGGCCACAACCTGACGCCAGCCCCGCGCTGGGGGTGAGAAGGCCCGCCAGCGCGCTCGCCCCGTCCAGGTGACCGGGAGACGGCCCCCGCCCGGCCGCGCGCCCGGCCCGCCGCGGGGGTCCCGTCGGGCGGCCTCTGGGCATGCTCAGTAGCGGCCGCGGCCGCGGGTCGCGCAGTCGGAAGCTCGCGGCGGCGGCGGCGGCAGTGCGGGCGGCGCTGACGCGCGCGCGGCAGCTGAGGGGACTGGAGGACGGCGGGAGGGGGCGGGGGCGCGGGAGGTGGGGCCGCCGTCGCCGTCAGGGCCCCAGGGAGCGCGGGGCGCCGCCGCCGCCGCTGCTCTGCTCGGTTCCGTCTCCTGGGCAGCGCCGGCGCTGGTGGCCGCGGCGGCTGGAGAGTGGGAGCCGGGAACCGCGCTCCGCCGAGAGTTGGGCAGGGGAGCGCCGGCGCCTTCGCGGCGTCATGGGCCCCCTCCCTGGGCCTCAGCGGGCACCAGCCGCGGGAACCCCCGGGCCTCCCGGCGGCCGAGCCTGAGCGACCCCCGGGTTCTCCGGCGCCCCCTCCCTCCTCCGTCCTATTTTTTTTTTTTCTCCTGCTCTCGCCGCCGTTGCCGTTTGTGCTCTCCGTTATGGCAACGGAACCGCCATCCCCTCTCCGGCTCGAGGCGCCCGGCCCCCCAGAAATGCGGACCCCACCGGCCAGCGAGGCCGCCCCCGAGGGCACCCAGCAGCCGGCGGGCGGGAGGCTCCGCTTCCTCAACGGCTGCGTGCCGCTCTCGCATCAGGTGGCCGGGCACATGTACGGGAAGGACAAAGTGGGTAAGTGGGGGTGGCGCGCCCCTTCCGCCCCCGCACGCCCCCTGGCCGGCGGAGCAGTCGGGCTCTTTCTGGCCGGGCTGGACGTCTCCCCTGGTCTGCCCGCCGCGCCCTGGCCCTTCCGCTCTGCCCCGGAGCCTTGTCACCCTCCAAGTGGGGTGATTTCCAGCGTGTGGGGCGATGGGCTTACAGAGGGGTGGCAGGGAGAGGCGGCCTGGTCTCCCCGGGGAGGGTGGGTGTTGATTGGAGACAACGTTGTTAGTAAAAATAAGGAACTTGGTTTTTACTGGACGGGAAAGGAAATTCTCCCGTGAGCACAAGGTCTGTTTATTATAGGCGAGGAGCTATTGCAAAAGAAAAGGAATGAAATGCAGATGATGCTAATCTACTGTTTCTCTGTTGGGTGCAGCTGCATAGCTGGAGGGGAAGAAAAAAAACAGCTTTGCCTTTCCTTTCTTTTTTTCTTTCTTTCTTTTTCCTTTTTTTTTTCTTTTCGTGAAGAGAGGGGGAAAGCTTGACTTGGCTTATCCGGGATATCTCCCTGCCCCATTGAGGAGGTTTTTCTTGGTGTCTCCTTGATTTCCCTGGGAGGCGTGGTTTCAGCAGTGCAAAAACTCGAATTCTGGTACGAAATATACCCTGCTGTTGTACTGGAATGGTCCACCGCTAAAACATTCACTTATTCTTGTTCATCTTTGTAAGACTGCTCATAGCCTCTGCAGTCCATTTTGTGAGTTCCTAACTTAAAGCACAGCACAGGACCTATCTCAGATGAGGAACTGTAATTCGCCTAACTGGTTCCCTGGCTATTGATGACCTGGGGGGAAATCCCATAGATGAGTGTATGACTTTTGAGGATCTTTGACCGGCAGCAGCCTTTGGAGAACATTTAGCTTATGCTGGTAAAATGATTCATGTTTCGTTGATAAGATAAAACTGACGTTTTCAAATGAGGTAACTAAGACTCAGCCTGAGTAAGTGACAAACCTGAAGTCACACGGGTGCTGTGTATCAGAATCATGAAACCAAGGAATTGTCCTTTGGAGCAATGTCTTGTGTGGAGCTTGCAGAAACTATTCCAACGAGGCCTTTTGAGAATGAATAAGTACTAGTTGGAATCTATGTTTCTTGACAACTAGAAACATTTTACATTATTTTCACCTACTTTTTTTTCTTGATGGAAATTGTGCATTAATGGTGCTGTCATTGCCATCTACATTGTCTGTATGCGTCCTATCTGCCCTCTGTGTTGTGAGTTCTTTGAGGTTAAAGACCAAACCTATTGGTTGGGAGGGACGTTATGGGGGGAAGCCATTGTAATCCATAAGCCGTACTTTGGAAATTTATATTCATTAAATAAAAGTTAAAAAAAGAAAGAAAAAGAAAAAATACAAACTAAAAAAAAAGACCAAACCTATTGATCTTACAGTCATGTGTAGAGACTGGAACTCATTTACACTGGGGAAATGTTGGAAGAGTGAAAGTGGGCAGTTCTTTTGATACACGGAGGGAAGGAAACGAATTTCTCAAGCTGCTTAGCATAGAAGTTTCCGCTTGTGTGTCATGCCTGGGAATAGAAGATTGAGAGTTCATCTTTTTAAAAAATACTATCTCATGATCTCTGTACTACAGTTTGTGAGTTCTTAACTGAGAATCTCACAGTTCTCAGATCTCGTTCTCATAGAGGAATGCTGATTGACTTATTAGTGGGGGAGGACAGGTGCACAGAGGTTAAGGTTACAATTGGCATACTGGCATCCTATGTCAGAATGCTTGGATTAGAGTCCTGGCTTCTTGCTGATGCTCATCATGAAGTCAGCAGGTGATGGCTCAAGTGATTGGGTGTTGGCTGCCCATGTGAGAGACTGGGATTGAATTCCCAGCTCCTGGCCAGCCCTGGCCTTCAGCAGGCATTTGGAAGTAAACCAATGAAAGAGAAATCTTCCTGTCTCCCTGCCTTTCAAATACATAAAAATAAATAAATATTAAAAGTAAAATGAATAAATTGTGATGAGAATGGCCCCAATAATATTCAGCAGGCCTGATAAAAAATGATTCTTTCCATAAGGGTCTCTAGAGATTGATTTATGTGCAAAGAAGAATAGATTTAAAAAAAAAAAATCCAAGGTAAACAAATCTCTGTGATGATTGTTGCTTAAGAATAACCACTGCTGGGGCGGGTGTTTAACCTGGCAGTCAGGTCTGGTATGTGAGTGCCAGAGTTTAATACCCAGCTCAGTCTCTTGACTTTAGCTTCCTGATAATGCATCCTGGGAGGGAGTGGCAATTGCTCAAGTAATTGGGTTCCTGCCACCCATGTGGGAGACCTGGATTGTGTTCCTGGCTCAGGGCTTTAGTCCCCACCCAACCCTGACCTTCACAGGCATTTTGGAAGTGTGTGAATGGCAGCTTTTGCTCTCTCTGTCTCTGTCTTTTGTATCTCAAATAAATTTTGTTTATTATGTACCTTCCTCTGCTTTTCAATAATAGTAGTTATCTCTAATTAAAAATGTACCCTAAATGTGAACTAAAACTACATTGCAAACAGTGGCTGAAATAGTTACTCTGTTATCCAAATTGCCTAATGAAATTAGTAGTTTAGATTCTTGAGAAGAAATTTGTAGAGCTTAATTTTATTTATTACATTCAATTTAAAATAAACTTCCTGCAATGTTGAGTGCATCTTTTGACCATATACTCTTTGTATCACCAGGGTACAACATCTTGAAATACTGTGCTCCAGATGTAATATGTATTTGTCAAATTTAGTTCTCAGATAATTATCCAATCCTACTTATATTGGTAGTACTGTAAAAGATCACCTGAATGATGATAATCTTCCCTACTCATAAAATGATTAACATTCAGAGTTCAACAGTTCATTGTGTCTTTCCAGGGTCATAAATTGCTTAGAGTTTAAAGTACATTGTTTAGATCACACTTTGTCAACTGAAATAATTCTCAGAATAAGTTTTGTTAAAGATGTTGTTTGAGTATTTGTTTTTAAATTTTTGTTATTAAGTAATCAGAAGTTCAATTTAGGATTCATGTCTTACTTATTTCCTAAAAGGATTGTTGGGTTTGTTAGTTTGAAAAGGGAAAACATGGAACCCGATACAGCAAAGGTGCTTGAACAGAAACATGGATCTTGTTATAGCTAAGTTAAGATTAAGATTATATTAGTAGTGCTGATATTAGTTGTGTGTTCTTCACTGAAATCATTTCATCAAAGTATATTTAAATCTTAATTCTAAGAAGACTTTTTTTTTTTTTTAAATTATTTATTTATTTGAAAACAGAGCAGCAGAGAGGGGTAGAGATATTCCATCCAATGGTTTTGTTCACAAAATGGCTACAACAGCCAAGGCTGGGTCAGGCTAAAGCCAGGAACTCCATTTGGGTCTCCTGTATGAGTGGCGGGGGCAAACACACGTAGCCGTCATCCACTGTCTTCCAGGTGCATTAGCAGAGAACTAGATGGCAGGTGGAGCAGCCAGAAGGCATACTCCAAGTATTTTTTCAAATTGTAAAAATAGGACATGGTATTTTGGGAAAAATTTTGTTTTAAGGGGTGCTTATCTCTCTACTGATTCTCATAGGAACAATCACTGGTAAGTATTTCCTGTGTGTCCTTTTAGGCCTTTTTTTCTGAGCATTACCACAATTCTATTTTTCGTACAAAGCATGTAGCAGCAACTTTTCTTTTCCAGCCTATACTGTGTATGTTCATATACCTGTATTTTGGACTCAGTATATACATGTGATCCTTGGCCTATGTTGGGATTACAGCCTGATAAAGCCTTTAGTAATTGAAAATATTTAAGTCTGGGGCTGGCACTGTGGCATAGTAGGTTAAACCTCCGCCTCTGACGCTGGCATCCCATATGGGCACCGATTCAAGACCTGACTGCTCTACTTCCGATACAGTTTCCTTCTAGTGGCCTGAGGAAGAAGTGGAAGATGGCCCAAGTACCTGGGCTCCTGCACCCATGTGGGAGGCCCAGAAGAAGCTCCTGGCTTTTCATTGTCGTTGCGGCCATTTGGGGAGCGAACCAGTGGATGGAAAACCTCTCTGTCCTTCTCTCTCTCTGTAACTCTGCTTCTCAAATAAATAAACCTTTTAAAAAACAAATGAGGTAGTTTATACCAAAAACAAGGGCTTACATTGATGTTCGTGAAGATGAACTAGTTTGGCCTTACTAGATATCCTCTGCAAATAATTGACCTAACATAATTTGAAACTTGCAGGCTGGTGCCGCGACTCAATAGGCTAATCCTCCACCTAGCAATGCCGGCACACCGGGTTCTAGTCCCTGTCCGGGCGCCGGATTCTGTCCCGGTTGCCTCTCTTCCAGGCCAGCTCTCTGCTGTGGCCCAGGAAGGCAGTGGAGGATGGCCCAAGTGCTTGGGCCCTGCACCCCATGGGAGACCAGGAGAAGCACCTGGCTCCTGGCTTTGGATCAGCGCGGTGTGCTGGCCGCAGCGCGCCAGCCATGGCGGCCATTGGAGGGTGAACCAACAACAAAAGGAAGACCTTTCTCTCTGTCTCTCTCTCTCACTATCCACTCTGCCTGTCAAAAAAAAAAAAAAAAAAAGATACTTTCAGAAAAGCCGAAAGAAAATTAGAACTTAATTTTTGGCAAATTTGTTTTATTATCTCTTTTTCTGTATTATTTTTTTCTGAACTGTTAGTAGATTGTATACATCATGCCACTTAAATAGTGTTGCCTGAGAACAAGTATATTCTCTTTTGTAGCCACAGCATCTTAACCAAATACGGGAAATTTAACAGTGATACAATACTTTATAGTTCATATTCTCATTTTGTGAGCTTGCCCAGAAATGTCTATGATACTTTTTTTCTCGGTTGAGGATAGTAGATTATATATATTTCTTAAATCTCTGTCTCCTTTAATTTCTATGGTCTCAGCCTTCTCTTTATCATATTGTCAGTTTGAAGAGTACTGGCCAGTTAGTTTATGAAAGATGACTCAGTTTAACTT